CATCCTTCCACCTCTATCTCCTTAGTAGCTGGAACCACAGGTGTGCACCACCACGCCTGGCTGATTTTTGTATGTTTTGTAGAGATGGGGTTTTGCCATGTTGCCCAGGCTGGTCTTGAACTCCTGAGCTCAAGCGATCCACCCGCCTTGGCCTCCCAAAGTGCTGGGATTACAGGTGTGAGCCACAACACCTGGTGACAATGTGATCTTCATAGTTATTGTAGGTCCGACAGAGGCTCTCTGGGATGCAATGAGACATTTGACAAATTTTCTGATGTTCTTGAAGGCAAGATGGCAAAAGTGGGATCTGGAGAAAAGTACAGCTGGGTAGATTCCCAAACAGAGGGAGGGTTTGTAAGAAGAGCACGCCACGGGGCCTTGTCCTTGCTTTTCTTCAAGACCGGGCCGCTGGAGCAATAGGAACTCCCCCCACCACACCAACATGCCAACTTGCAACCAGGACAGAACCTCTCAGCTCCTTCCTCCTCTTGGTTTCTGTGCTCATGTGTGTATCTTCCATGAGACTGGACACTCCTTCAGGTTGGGGAGGCGGCTTATGCATTGTGTATCTCCTGTATCACTTAGCTGATTGTTCAGCCAATAGTAGATGCTCAATAACACATACTCATGTGCACATAGAGTAATGAAACCACATTTCCCAAATGAATGGGTGGGCAGGTTGCAGGGGATGACTATTGTTTCAAAGAAGAGAATTGAGAATCAGAAGGATCTCCAGAGATTGGCAGGAAATCACCAAGATGAAACTGAATGGGGATTCATTCATTCAACTAGTATGTACTGAGCACCTACTGGCTGCCAGGCACTGTTCTGAAGTGCAGAGAATACAGAGGTGAGCAAAACAGACAAAATCTCTGCCCTCTTGGATCTCACATTCTAGTGCAGGAAAGCTGGCAAACAGAATGAGTGAGTAGAATACACGGTGTATGAGGAAGCGATAGATGCCAAGTAGAAAGAAAGCAGGGAAGGGGAGAAGAGTGGCAAAGGAGGGTTGGTCTCGGGGTTGCAGTTTTGGTTTGGCGCAGCCAGAGAAGGTGGAGGAAGGCCAGAAGAAGATGGGGAGCAAGCTAGGAGGGTATCTGGGGAGGAGCATGCCAGGAAGAGGACACAGCGAGTGCCAAAGCCCTGAGGCTGGAGTGTTCTGGAGTGTTAGAGAATAAATTAGGGGATAAACTAGGTTAGCCTTCTTTTGTGTCTTATACTTTTCTCTCCCAATCGTAATTACAATTAAAGACTTGTTTAATATCTGTTTCCCCAATAGACTCTAAGGTCTCTTAGTTCAGTGGCTGGGGCTTGATCTCAGGTAAATTTCTGTTTTTTTTTTTTTTTTTTTTTTTTTTGAGACAAAGTTTCCCTGTGTTGCCCAGGCTGGAGTGCAGTGGCGTGATCTCGGCTCACTGCAACTGCTGCCTCCTGGGTTCAAGCAATTCTCCTGCCTCAGCCTCCTGAGTAGCTGGGACTACAAGAGACTGCCATCACACCCAGCTAATTTTTGTATTTTTAGTAGAGACAGTGTTTCACCATGTTGGCCAGGATAGCCTTGAACTCCTGACCTCAGGTGATCTGCCCACCTCAGTCTCCCAAAGTGCTGTGATTACAGACGTGAGCCTCCGTGCCCAGTCAGGTTCTCAGGTAAATTTCTAACTCTCAGCACAGGCCTGAAATATGGTAGGTGCTCAACCATATGTTGTTTGTGAATAAATGAATAAATGTGAATAAATGACTTTTGGGTGAAAAGATCGACTGCACAAGCAAGAACTGGCTTGAGAGCAATTAGAGAGAAAGGTTGGAGACTTGTAGCTGTGGCCAACAGTGAACTTAGGGTGGTACGGTGAGAGAAGAGGCCACAGGAAAGCCATAAGAAGCTGTGCTGAGATGCCGGGTGCAGTGGCTCACGCCTGTAAACTCAGCACTTTGGGAGGCTGAGGTGGGTGGTTCGCTTGAACCCAGGAGTTCAACATAGGCAACATGGCAGCATGATGAAACCCCATTTCTACTAAAAATGCAAAAATTAACCAGGTGCAGTGGTGTGTGGCTGTAGTCCCAGCTATTCAGAAGGCTGAGGTGGGAAGATAGCTTGAGCCTGGGAAGTTGAGGCTGCAGTGAGCGGAGATTGCGCCACTGCACTGTAGCCTGGGCTGCAGAGCTGGACCCTGTCTCAAAAAAAAAAAAAAAAAAAAGCTGTGCTGGCAGGGCCTTTCCCATTGATAAGGGCCAAGGCAGGGACAGGCTGTAGAGCATGAGGTGTGGTTGAGAAGGGTTAACCTGGAGCAGGGGAAACTGAGGAAAGATATAACCCATTAGAGCCTTGGCACTGCAGGATTTAGTATTAAGTCCATGATGGGAGCCAATTATACTTTTGCTGCTGCATGAATTGGGATCTCTGTGCACCTTTGTGTGCAAAACCAAGTCACTCGGCTGCTGAGGGGCCTGGTTCAATCTCCAGACTGTTGTCATTCTCCCCATCACTACATGACCATCTTTCTAAGTAGGGGAATTATTTCTAAGTAGGGGCAGCATCTGTTACAGCAGCAATTGCAAATCTGGGGATTCTGCAAGGTCCCTGGGTATAATGGTCGTGGATAAAAATTCATCTGTTTAAACAAATAGTGATTGATGCCTAGTGTATGCCAGATGCTGAGCTGGATAGAGGGGTGGACAGGACATACATCATGGAGCTGTGATTCAGTGTTTAGTGGTGCTGTCTTAGAAAGTTTGAAGGGCGGGCGGGCATGTGGAACAGGGAGGAGGTTCATTGTGGGCTGCTCCATGGGGCAGTGGTCTGAGCTGGGTACAGGTGGTACCTCCAGCCTGAGGAGCTCTGTGGGCTGCCTTGAGCAAGTCCCTAAGATCACAGAGGGATGGGCCTCAGGGTCCTCGAGTGTAAAACAAAGGCATTGGCTCAGATGACCTTGAAGTGCCCTTCTGGCTCTGTTATCTACAAAATTACAAATATGGGGAAGTTCCATGGAGGTGGATTTGGCCCCATCCCAAATGTGGCCTCTGTCCTCCACCCTGAATCCTGACAGGGAGGGATGGTAGAGTTCAGTTCACAGAAATCTTTCTCAAGCACATTTGTGGGGTCTGGAAGGCAGGCCCAGAACCTCGCCCCTGCACAGTGGTCCCCAGGGAGTAGGGCTTGAGTCCCCTGAGGAATGAGCAGAATTCAATGCATTTCCCAGCCCTCTTCTGGACTCTGGGGCTGCTCTGCATTGCCTCCTCTCTCCTTGGTGCACCTAATTCTCCTCCTGGGTCTTTTCTCTCCTCTTCTCTTCCTTACCTGGTCCCTTCCTCCTTGAACTCCTTTGTTCTCCCCACTGAAGGCGCTGCCTCTTCTTCCTCTTGAGGTCACCTGCCATTCAGTTTCATTAAGGCGTGCTGCTGGTTGGGGCCAGGGGAAGGAGGAAGGGGCTTTTAATCCTCTGGAGGGAGGTGAGGCGTACTCACTGTTATCTGGCCTTGGGGTGGAGTATCTGTGGGATTGTTCAAATTGCTAAGACTGACTTCCTCATAGCACGTCTCTTGAGTGTTCAGTATTCTGAGCCCTCGTTTGTCCTTGCCTTGAGTTGCATTGTCAAAGGCCCCGGTGTCCTTGCTTATGAATGTGCCAGGCTCTAGGAAAGGGGAGGGGGACCGGGAGAAATAGCCCCCTTGCCATGTAAATAAGAAATTTTGGATACTTGCCCAAATCAGAGTGGTCCAACTCTGCCGGCCAGTGGTGGAGAAGCTTAAGTGGAGTCTACTGGATGCCTGCCTTCCAGGAGTCCTGCCACTCAGGAGAGTTTGTACTGAAGTATCAGATGAACCCTAGGGTTTTCCTCCAACCACCAGACTTTCAGGCCAGAGGCAGAGACTGTCCTCTGGGGAACCCCAAATGTCCTGTTTCCGCTCCCAGTCCATCTGGAGTATTTTTCTAAATGCACATTGCTTTTTCTTTTTGAGATGGAGTCTCACTCTGTTGCCCAGGCTGGAGTGCAGTGGCGCAATCTTGACTCACTGCTCAACCTCTGCCTCCTGGGTTCAAGCAATTCTCCTGCCTCAGCTTCCTATGTAGCTGGGATTACAGGTGTGTACCACCACACCTGGCCAATTTTTGTATTTTTAGTAGAGATGGGATTTCGCCATGTTGGACAGGCTGGTCTCAAACTCCTGACCTCCAGTGATCCACCCACCTCAGCCTTCCAAAGTGTTGGGATGACAGGCATGAGCCACTGTGCCTGGCCCTAAATGCACATTTCATTTTGGAGGCTGGGTGGCTCTGATTTGTAACCTGAGGAAGCAGAGCCTGATGGCAGGTGGATGGGCCTGGCCCTGAGTGCTTGTGGAAGGAGCAGAGCCATAGGCTGGGTCAGAAACGAACTGTCCATGAGATCCTGGATGGAGATGCCTGGTTTCAGTGGGTGGTGCCTCATGGATGATTGCTGGGTTGGGCAAGAGGAAGGACTTGGAAACCCTGTTTTTCTGTTTCATTTCCAAATCTTGGAGTGTCTTTTAGCCAACGATGGCAATAACACCTCCTCACTTTGTGGCGCTGCAAGTGCGTTCCTTCTCCAACTCCTTGAGGTAGATTCTCCCTTGAGAATCCAGGGCACTCTGATGCTTCCTCTGAACCCCTTCTAGCTTTCTTTCCTCTTCAACCTCCCCGCTGCTTCCCTATCTGCTCCAGGAAGCCTTCCCTGAGTGGCCTCAGTGACTTTGCTCTGGCCATCCCTCCCTGTCCCTCAGTACTGACATCCTGGTCTCCTGCCTGCTTCCTCACCTTTGGGCATGCCTCTTTCTCCAACAACCTGGGAGCTCCGAGGGCAGGGTCTGGGTTTCCTTCTCCCTTGGCTCTGCACGTGCTGGACACTTATTCTCCAGGCACGTCAGAATAAGTCAGCTGGAGCCAAGTGACAGACACAGTCAGATCAAGAGCATCTTGCTCTCCAAGGCCCAGCCCAGGTACGGGAGTGGATAAAAGTCTCGTGCTGGGGCCCCAGGGCAGAAACTCACACACCTTGACAATCTGTCTGTCCGTCTGCAGCTGCGTGACTGTCTGTCTCTGCCATGTCTCTCTCCCCATGCCGGGCCCAGAGGGGCTTCAGCTCTCGCTCAGCCTGTTCTGCTCGCTCAAGGGGCTGCAGCAGGGGAGGCTTCAGCAGCAGGAGCCTTAATTCCTTTGGGGGGTGCCTGGGAGGCTCTCGTGGGAGTACCTGGGGGTCAGGGGGAAGGCTGGGGGTGCAGTTTGGGGAGTGGAGTGCTGGGCCTGGGCTCTCCCTGTGCCCTCCGGGGGGCATCCAAGAAGTGACCATTAACCAGAATCTGCTGACCCCACTGAAGATTGAGATCGACCCCCAGTTCCAGGTGGTGCGGACGCAGGAGACCCAGGAGATCAGGACCCTCAACAACCAGTTTGCTTCCTTCATTGACAAGGTGAGGGTCAGCTCAGCCAAGCCCCTGTCTCTGTGCTTCCCTTAGAGGAGCTGCTCTTGATGGACTTGGGAATGGGAAGTTTGTCCTCCTTTTACCACTTTTCTAATAACTTCTGCAGCAAGGAAGTCCCTCCTGTGGACTAACTGGACTCTCTGGCTATGCGGAGGCCCTGTTGTTCCATGACTGGGGCTCAGGGACAGAGAACGGCCAACCAGCAGGGGGGAAGACCTTGTCCCATTAGTCTGTCCAGTCTTTTGGTGTGTTCAGAGTGTCATGGAAGGTCATGAGGCTCCCCCTGGCCAGGTTGGGCAGGGAGACAGCGGAAAGGTGGGGCTGATGGGAGGGTCCCACAGGCTTTACTTTCCAGAGGCTGTGCACAGGGAGTCCCACGGGAGCCTCAGGGATCCTCTGCTTCTGCTGCAGGTGCGGTTCCTGGAGCAGCAGAACAAGGTCCTGGAGACCAAATGGCACCTGCTGCAGCAACAGGGGTTGAGTGGCAGCCAGCAGGGCCTGGAGCCTGTCTTTGAGGCCTGCCTGGATCAGCTCAGGAAGCAGCTGCAGCAGCTCCAGGGAGAACGAGGGGCTCTGGATGCTGAGTTGAAGGCCTGCCGGGACCAGGAGGAGGAGTATAAGTTCAAGTAGGCACACTGAAATTTCCCCATGCTATGTGGGCGGGGTCTGGGAGGACTCAGATTGGGTCTGACAGTCAGGAGGTATCCCACATACTGAGCACCCAGAGGCACATGACTGGCCTCCCCTCTACCCCTCCGCATCCCCATTCCCCAGGCTCTCAGGTGCCCACCTGCTACAGGTAAAGGAGGTGTCCCGCAGCCCCCACCCAGGTCTGGAGAACCTCGGAGGAAAGGCGAGGAGACCAGTGTCCTACATGCCCCAGCTACAAGGGCCCGTGTTTCCGGTCAAGGCTGGGAAGGGCTTATTTAAACAATGCCCCAGTGGCTTTTTTTTTTTTTTCTTGAGAAATTCCTGTTCAGCAGGCTGTGGGCTAAAGTGATTCAGATGCTCTCTGAATTGACTGAAATTGATTCCTCCCAAGGAGGGGAGGGAATCAATTTAGTGGGGCCGTCGCCAGGCCCGTGACACAATTCACAGATGGGTTGTGGTTCTGGGCTGCACGCCTAGGTCACCTGGTGGAGTGGAGAGAGCCCTGGACTAATAGGGGGCTTGGGTGGGGGCGACTGTGAGTGAGGGGTAGCTGTGCAGCCTGGGCAAGGCATCTCATCTCTCCCAGACTTGGTTTCCCTTCTGTAAACTTGGGAAATGTCACCTGCCCTTCCGGCCTCCCAGGCCTGTTGGGATGATGGAATAGGAGGCGGAGGAGGGCAGGTTCTGGAAGGAGCCCAGGATTGGGGTCAGGAGACCTGGGTTGGCTCTGTTTTGTCTACCTAGTCATCTGTGGGGTCTTGGTCAAATAGTCTAATCTCTCTGATAAAACCCAAACTGTCTGCCCCAGTGATGGGTGTGAGTAGCAAGTGGGAAAAGGTATTCTAATATGCCTTATAAACTGAAACAATGTGACTGTCGTCATCAAAAGGACATGGGCTGAAAGAGTGGCACAGGTACATAGCCAGGACGTGGCGGGAAAGGAGAGAAGGGCTGCTTGTTGTCCTGTTTGGGGGCATTCTCAGGCAAGGAGTCCTTTTCAGGGAAGTCATGCTTGGAAGTGGGGGCATGAGCTCTGACCGTGGAGCCTCGAACTGCGTCCTTCTCTACTTATTTGGCAGGTATGAGGAGGAGGCCCACAGGCGCGCCACACTTGAGAATGACTTTGTGGTCCTCAAGAAGGTGAGGGTGGGGGCCAGTGCTCCACTTACGTCCTGAGCACCCACTGTACACGGAGCCTAGTCCTAGGCTGGGAGGGAAAGGGTGAGAGGTCCTGATTTAGGACAGGCTATCGCTCTGCCTGCAGGGGTCCCCTGGGGAAATGGGACATCTGCCTAGACACAGGGACCCCAAGACAAGATCTGACTGAAGGACTGCTTGACGAGCTCTGATGTCACAGCAGGAGAGGGTGGGGAGGGAGAGGAAGAAGCAGAACTGGTTGTGATTAATCAGGGAAGACTTCCTGAAGGCGATGTTGGGTCAATGTTGGGCAAAGGAGAGAGCAGGACAGGGTGGGGCTGGAGGAGGAAGGCGGGGGACTTGGGAGGCATGGTGGATGGGTGTCGAGCAGTGCATGAACAGTATTCCTGAGCCAGAGTAGGATCCCCAAAGGAGAAGAGGGGGTTGCAAGGTTTCTCTCCCGCTGTGTCTAGGATGCGGATGGGGTTTTCCTGAGCAAGATGGAGTTGGAGGGCAAGCTGGAGACTCTGAGAGAATACATCTGCTTCTTGAAGCATCTGAATGAAGAAGTGAGGCTCAACCAAAGGGCAGGCGGGAGCCAAGAGAGGGGACAGGGTGGGCAGGCTCCCTGTGGCCATGGGGAGAGTGGCCAGAGGGGAAGTCTGTTAGGATGGCTTAGATTCTGGGTCATTCAGTCACTTGACAACCAATTACTAAAAACTTACTATGTGAATCGCTAGGTCCTGGGGATACATCAATGAATAACCAGGCAAAAATCACTACAGACGAAAAGATTGCTTTTTTTTTTTTTTTTTTTTTTTTTGAGATGGAGTCTTGCTCAGTCACCCAGGCTGGAGTGTTGTGGTATGATCTCAGCTCACTGCAACCTCTGCCTCCCGGGGGTCAAGCAATTGTCTGCCTCAGTCTCCCGAGTAGGTGGGGTTACAGGCGCCTGCCACCACAGCTGGCTAATTTTTGTATTTTTAGTAGAGATGGGGTTTCACCATCTTAGCTAGGCTGGTCTTGAACTCCTGACCTCGTGATCCACCTGCCTTGGCCTCCCAAAGTGCTGGGATTACAGGCATGAGCCACCGCACCCTGCTAAGTTTGCTTTCTATTGGGAGACAGACAATAAGCAACAGACTTAGTAAATAAGGAAATTATACAGTATGCTAGGAGGTTATAAACACAATGGAAAAAAGGAAAATGAGCACAGGGAAAGGAGGATTGGGAACATGGAGCAGGTGCCAATTTCAAATCATGTGGCCAGGGTAGGCCTTATTTAGGAGATAAAATCTGAGCAAAGATTTGGAGGAGGTGAGAAAGGTTACCACGCAGGGGGGTTTCCGGGATTCCAGGCAGTGGCTGCAGCCCACAGTGGGAGTGTGCTGTCTGAGGAAATGCAGGAAGGCCAGTGTGGCCAGAGTTGTAGGAGCAAGAGAGAGAGGAATGTGATAAGAGGTCTGAAGATGGCTGGGCACAGTGGCTCGTGCCTACAATCCCAGCACTTTGGGAGGCTGAGGCAGGTGGATCACCTGAGGTCAGGAGTTCGAGACTAGCCTGGCGAAATGCTGTCTCTACAAAAAACACAAAAATTAGCCAGACTTTGTGGCAAGTGCTTGTAATCTCAGCTGCTAGGGAGGCTGAGGCAGAAGAATGGCTTGAACCTGGAAGGCGGAGGTTACAGTGAACTGAGATCATGCCACTGCACTTCAGCCTGGGCAACAGAGTAAGACTCCATCTCAAAAAAAAAAAAAAAAAAAAAAAAAAAAAAAAAAAAAGAAGAAGAAGAAGAAGAAAAAAATGAAGCCTGAGGAGTGATGGGGGCTGGGTGATTTCGGGCCTTGCAGGTCATTTTCCATTAATGTCCAAGCTGCAAGAGACCTCAGAGACCACCTCCTATGGCCCTCATTTTTGAATGAGGAGATCAAGTCCCATGGTGAGCAGGGCATATTCAATGCCACCTGGGATGAATGGGGGTCATGGCATGTAAGCAGAAATTTGCCATCTTGCTCAATCATCCTAGGCTTCAAGGGGAGAGGGAGCTGGGGGTGGGTGGACACTGAACCTGTCTTCCCTGCAGGAGCTGGGCCAGCTCCAGACCCAGGTCAGCGACACGTCTGTGGTACTGTCCATGGACAACAACCGCTACCTGGACTTCAGCAGCATCATCACTGAGGTCCGCGCCCGGTATGAGGAGATCGCCCGGACCAGCAAGGCTGAGGCTGAGGCCCTGTACCAGACCAAGGTGGTGGGACCCGGGAGGGCAGCACCATGCTGGAAATGGCTAGGTCTCCATGCCCACAGTCTAGGGTGGTCATCCACCTAGATTCCATTGGGGCAGTTCCAGTTACCTCCCTGAAGGTCTGAGGCTGGGTGGGCAGGGCCATTTCCCCTCCAGGAGGGAGGTGATGCAGAGGAACTGTGGGAGATAAGCTTGGACTTCTGGAAGTACATCCCACTGTGTCCTGGCTACAGGTGTTTAACAAACACTCCAAATAATGAAGTGAGAGGTGGCATTCCAAACATAGGGAGATGGTCAAAGGTGGCGGTCCTCTCAACTAATGGTGTCCCCTCTGTTCCCCTCTCAGTACCAGGAGCTTCAGGTGTCTGCCCAGCTTCATGGGGACAGGATGCAGGAAACGAAAGTCCAGATCTCTCGGCTGCACCAAGAGATTCAGAGGCTGCAGAGTCAGATTGAGAACCTCAAGAAGCAGGTAGATTCCCAGAGCCCTCCAAACATCCTCTCATTGCCTTTGTGTCTTCAACTCACTCCCCAGTTCCTAGTTTCTGTCTCTCCATTGGGGTTGCCAGTGGGTTTGTGTCGAGGACGTTGATAACTGGCTGGAGCTTTGGATAATTTGGGGAGAAGATAACTTCAAGCCCCATTTAGGGTGAATTCAGCCTTCCTGTTGTGACTTCTAGCCGCATGTTGGCTTCTGTGGGATAGTGCCACTGCATTGCACTCCCCTGGCGTTGGGGAGGGGCTGACAGCATTGGAGCCTATGTCCAGGTGTACGTCTTGCTTTCAACCTTTTGGGGAGATGGTTAATTCATCTCTTTTCTCTTTTCTTATCTCTTTCTTTTCTTTTCTTTCTTTCTTGTTTCTTTCTTTCCTTCTTTCCTACAGAGTCTTACTCCGTTGCCCAGGCTGGAGCGCAGTGGCGTGATCTTGGTTCACTGCAACCTCTGCCTCCGGGTTCAAGGGATTCTCCTGCCTCATCCTCCTGAGTAGCTTGAATTACAGGCATGTGCCACCATGCTTGGCTAATTTTTGTATTTTTAGTAGAGACGGCGTTTCACCATGTTGGCCAGGCTGGTCTCAAACTCTTGACCTCAAGTGATATGCCCACCTCGGCCTCTCAAAGTGGTGGGATTACAGGCATGAGCCACTGCACCCAGCCTCATCTCTTTTCTTTTTCTTTCTTTTCTGTTTTTTTTTGAAATGGAGTTTCACTCTTGTTGGCCTGGGCTGGAATGCAATGGCATGATCTCAGCTCACTGCAACCTCTGCCTCCCGGGTTCCAGTAATTCTCCTGCCTCAGCCTCCCAAGTAGCTGAGATTACAGGTGCCCACCACCATGCCCGGTTAATTTTTGTATTTTTAGTAGAGACAGGGTTTCACCATGTTGACCAGGCTGGTCTCAAACTCCTGACATCAGGTGATCCACTGGACTCAGCCTCCCAAAGTGCTGGGATTACAGGTGTGAGCCACTGTGCCCAGCCCACATCTCTTTTCTTATCTCTTCTTTTGACTCTTACTTCTCAAGCCCAGCAGGGACTTTAAGGTCAAACACTGAAGGTCCTGGGGCCCTATGGGGGAAGTTGGGAGCCAGGGCCTCAGAGAGTAAGTGAGGTGGGTGGCAGGATGGGGCTAACTTCTCCTTAGGTAGATGCATTACAATGGTCAGAAGTAGAGGAAGGGATTGGCAAGGGGAAGGAAGCCATTTCCTGCTCCTCCTGCAGTGAGGAGACCTCACTTCTAGGTGTGAAGTGTTATGAATTCTCAAACTGTGAAGTATTCTTGCACTCATATTTCCTAAACCCAAAAGATCAATTCGGGGATCAATGGAGGATGGAGAGCAGAGACCACAGAGTCAAGCCATTTCCTCAAGCACTATAGCTTGGTTCGAAAGTCACATGCTGTCCCTTGACTCCCAAGCAAGGCCCTCTGGGGAGGGTTCTTGGAGTATCCAGAACCCACACTTCATCCCAAACCATCTTTCTGGCTCTTGTTTGCAATGAGAGGCAGGGCCTGAGAGGAATGTGATGAGTCCTGTTACTCAATTTGCTGCCACTATGTTTCACCAACCAATTTGAACCCCTTGCTTTGGAATCCTCTGGGGAGGCTGTTAAGATCCAGATTCCTGGCCTCCTGGCAGAGTTGAGGAGTCAGAATCTCTAAGGATGGGGCCCAGAAACCTGCTTTTTAAATGAGGTTGCTGGTTCTGAAGCATGTGGTCTTCAGAGTCTAGTGGCAGCATGCAGGAGTGTGTACTGGGTACCTGGGCCTGGGAATCACAGCTCGTCACACAGCAATGTGCCTTTCCTGGGAGAATCCCTCCTGGGGATATAGCACTGTCCCCTGCTGCTTTTCTGCACAAACATGATTAACTGGGCTCCCCTGTGCAGGCCCAAGTGGGTTAGGATCCCAGTTCTGCCACCCATCTTTCTGAGCCTCAGTTTCTTCATCTGTAGAGTAGAGATTATGTTTCTATCCACAGAGTGGGGATCTAATAATGACAGACTTTAGATAATTCCTTCTTTCCTGAGTCAGATGTGAGGGCAAATCAACTGTAAGGCTGATAAAGACAGGGATCTCATCCTTCCCCTAGCTTTCTATTGTCAGTAAAGGGATTATATTTTCCTTCTTTTTTTTTGAGAAGGAGTCTCGCTCTGTCACCCAGGCTGGAGTGCAGTGGCGCGATCTTGGCTCACTGCAACCTCCACCTCCCAGGTTTAAGAGATTCTCCTGTCTCAGCCTCCTGAGTAGCTGGGACTACAGGCGTGTGCCACCATGTCCGGCTAATTTTTTTTTTTTTTGTATTTTTAGTAGAGACAGGGTTTCACTGTGTTAGCCAGAATGGTCTTGATCTCCTGACCTAGTGATCTGCCCACCTCAGCCTCTCAAAGTGCTGGGATTACAGGTGTGAGCCACTACACCAGGCTGAGATTATGTTTTTCAAACCCAAAATTGAGGCACACGGTTTGATATACTCTGACAACAGGACAAAGTATTTGAAATGGGACTGTCTGAAAAAAAAAAAAGAACGTTGGTGGCCCTCAGGGGGAGCCTTGTAGGTGGTGATCCACGGTACAGGAAGAGCACTAAGCACCCTGGGAGAGGTGCCGAGGGCTGGGGGTGGGAAGAAATAGGGAAAGAGCACTTGGGGAGGTGGCACAGGAGTTGTACTAGTGTCCTAGGGCTGCCGTGACAAATCTTCACAAATTGGGTGGCTAAAAACAACAGAAATGTAATCTCTCCCTGTCCTGGAGCCTTGAAGTCTGAAATCAAGGTGTTGGCAGGGCTGTGCTTCCTCTGAAGGTGCAGTGGGAGTCCTCCCTGGGTCTTGCTAGCTTCTGCAGGCTCCAGGAGCTCCTTGGCATTTTTCGCCTTATTGCTGCATCATTCCCATCTCTGCCTCTTTCTTTTTTTTTTTTCTTTTTTTTTTGAGACAGAGTCTTGCTCTGTTGCCAGGCTGGAGTGCAGTGGCACGATCTTGGCTCACTGCAACCTCCACCTCCTGGGTTCAAGCAATTCTTCTACCTCAGCCTCCCCAGTAGCTGGGACTACAGGTGCGTGCCACCACGGTCAGCTATATATATATTTTTAAAATTTTTAGTAGAGACAGGGTTTCACTGTGTTAGCCAGGATGGTCTCGAACTCCTGTAATCTGCCTGCCTTGGCCTCCTAAAGTGCTGGGATTACAGATGTGAGCCACCACACCCAGCCCTGCCTCTCTCTTCTGATGAGTTCTCTCTGTGTCTGTCTCTGTGTTCTCTCTTCTATTCATAAGGACACCAGTCATTGGATTTAGGGCTCACCCTAAATATGGTATGATATGATTATGAGATCCTTAATTAATTACATCTGTAAAGACCGTACTTCCAATAAGATCACATTCTGGGGTCCTGGGTGGACATGAAAGTTTTGGGGGATTCTCTTCAACCTACTGCAGGAGGTAAGGAAGTGAGGGAAGCAATACCTTCCCTTAGAATGAGAGGAGCCTGTTGCAGGGGTGGTGTTGGTACAGACGGCCATGTATAATTTTGAGCTCATGAGATTATGATCCACCCCAGCCCTCAAGTGATATCCACAGGGGGTGCTTTGAGAGGCTATGTTGGACTTACAACCACTTTCTCGCTCATTTCTACCCCGCTTCCAGAACGCCAGCCTGCAGGCCGCCATCGCTGACGCTGAGCAGCGTGGGGAGCTGGCCCTCAAGGACGCTCAGGCCAAGGTGCACGAGCTGGAGGCTTCTCTGAGGACGGCCAAGCAGAACCTGGCCCAGCTGCTGTGCAAGTACCAGGAGCTGATGAGCACGAAGCTTTCCCTGGATGTGGAGATTGCCACCTACCGCAGGCTGCTGGAGGGCGAGGAGTGCAGGTGAGAGAGGCTTGGAGGGACCTGGGAATATGAGGTGGGGGAGGAGGATGGGATGCCAACACAGTGAGCTGCTTGCTAAAGAGGATTCCGAGAGATTTCCTGACATTGCGAGTCACTAAGGGCAACTGACGCTGCAGAGAGATATTTTAAGTTGGGGACTGTGGATTTTATCTGCTGAGAGGGTGGGTGGCCTGCTCTGAGGGGCTTAAAAGCTCGTAGGGATGCATTCTTTGCAGTATTTCTTAGCGCATCCCTCTCTTGTCGTTTTTCCCCTAGGATGTCTGGGGAGTGCCCCAGCCAGATCACTATCTGTGAGTATCAGGGGACTTTGGGGATGGGATCCCCATGGGGAGCCGAGGACCCTGCTCTGACCCGGTGCATTTCTTGGCAGCCTCGGTGGGAGGCAGCACTGTCGTGTCTGGAGGAGTTGGTGGAGACTTGGGGAGCATTTGTGGACTTAGTGGCGGGAAAAGCAGCTCTGGGTCCTGCTGCACCAGCATCGTGACTGGAGGCTCCAACATTATCCTGGGCTCTGGGAAGGACCCTGTTTTGGGTTCCTGCTCTGTGTCCGGCTCCAGCTCTGGCTCCAGCTGCCACACCATCCTGAAGAAGACAGTTGAGTCGAGTCTGAAGACATCCATCACCTACTGAGTGAGCCAGCAGCCACCTCCTTCCTGAACACATTTGGCCTGCTCCCCCCATCAGCCGGCTCTGCACGGCCAACTCTGTGTCCACTGCCCACAGCCCAAGCCAGCCCACAGCGGATGCTGCAAAAATCAATAAAGTCTCCCCTCCTGCCGTTCTGAATGCTCTAAGTGCTTGCGCACCTCACCCAGCAAAACAAAAGCTGTGTGGCTCCCCAGCCTCCTCTCCTTGGAAGGCAATCTGTGGCATATGTGTGTCCAAACGGGTCCTATTGGCATCTCACTCCACATCCCAGCCACTCTATCAAGGGATCCTTCAAGCCCCCCAGTGTGTTCCTCGGGGTGTGCTCCATCTCTCATACTTCCACTGATGTTTTAGCTGTGCTTGTAGCTCGCTTCCTCGTCAATTGCCTGTGTTAAGAGGTTCTAGTTCTTACTGCGGGCAGCCCCCTTCCTTATTCCTGACTGTGCACCAAATTTTTCTCCTCCTAGGAAGATTCTCTAATTCTCATGTTTAACCTGCTGGGCCCTTCCTGTCCCTGGCAGTCTGGCTGCACCTGTTGCTGTCCCGGGCTCTGTGTCTGTCTGGTTCAGGTCAGGGACTCAGCTTCTCAATTAGCCTCCACTCCTGCACCCAGGATGAGGATGTGCTCAGCTTGTGCCTGGGGGCTCTGATGGAGACTTGGGGCTCAAACTCTGCCCCTACCCCCTTATCTGTTGGCTCTCATCTTATCTTTGGGCAAGTCTGAACATGAGGCTGGAAACTTCTCCTCCTTCCTCTCCTTCAGGAAACTCTGCAGGAAGCCAGGAGTGTGGGAGTCGGGTGGGGTGCCAGGAGGGGCTGTAAGGATCACCTTTTCTACCCACCCCCAGCAGCCTCACGGGTGCCTGCAGTTGCTCTTTCCCCATTCTTTTTTTTTTTTTTTCAGATGGAGTCTGGCTCTGTCGCCCAGGCTGGAGTGCAGTGGCCGGATCTCAGCTCACTGCAAGCTCCACCTCCCAGGTTCACGCCATTCTCCCGCCTCAGCCTCCTGAGTAGCTGGGACTACAGGCGCCCGCCACCTCGCCCGGCTAGTTTTTTTGTATTTTTTAGTAAAGACGGGGTTTCACCGTGTTCGCCAGGATGGTCTCGATCTCCTGACCTCGTGATCCGCCCGTCTCGGCCTCCCAAAGTGCTGGGATTACAGGCTTGAGCCACCGCGCCCGGCCTCTTTTCCCATTCTTGCTTTCCAGACCCAGGTGGGGGACCTTGCTCAACCTCACACTCCACTGTCTGGGCTGCAGGAGTTCACATTACACCTGTCCTTGCTTTAGAGGGAGGGCAGGCCTTTCCTCAGATCCATGAATCTCTCCATCCAAATTATGCAAGAAGGCTTTTCAGCTTTGTGTGAAGGAGACAGGAACCGCTGAGGATGTGGCTAGAACTCCTAGGCTTGAATCCCAGCTCTGCCGTTTCCTAGTGGTGTGACCTTGATCAAGCGGCTTGACCTCTTCAGTTACCTCATCTGTAAAAAGAGAATAATAATAATATGTACCTCACAGGGCTGTGTGGCGACTGTGCCACTAGGATCCCAGAAGGAAACGAAATTCATCCAAGGTAGTTCAATTAAATTGACTTTTTAAAAAAGTAGGCCGGGCGCGGTGGCTCAAGTCTGTAATCCCAGCACTTTGGGAGGCCGAGACAGGCGGATCACGAGGTCAGGAGATCGAGACCATCCTGGCTAACATGGTGAAACCCCGTCTCTACTAAAAAATACAAAAAACTAGCTGGGCGAGGTGGCGGGCGCCTGTAGTCCCAGCTACTCGGGAGGCTGAGGCAGGAGAATGGCGTGAACCCGGGAGGTGGAGCTTGCAGTGAGCTGAGATCTGGCTGCTGCACTCCAGCCTGGGCAACAGAGGGAGACTCCATCTCAAAAAAAAAAAAAAAAAAAGTATAATTTCCGTTTCTCCCACCTCCCAGAGGATAGTATTTCTTTAGTGCTGAGGGATTCAGCCCCTTACGTGGGCTTTGGCAGAGGTTTCGGGCAGCACCTGCCATTCTGAATCGAGATATGGGTGTTGGGTCCTTCTGGGCTTCACAAGGCTGCTTCCAGCCTGGCCTGCTGTGAGCGGCTCCCCTCACATGGTAATGCAGTTTCACATTCAGCCTGGGAAGCACCCAGACATCCAAGACACTCCCTTTGGAAATGTCCCTGACGGTGGTGGCCTCTACCACATTTTCAGATGAAGACTTTCTTAATGGCCTTGCCCTCGGGCACATGTCAGGTAGAGTTTGTGCAGTGAATAGGCTGCACATGGCCGTGGGCGTAATTGTTGTTCCTTCTTTTCTTTGTCATCTTGGAAGTGAGGGCCTGAGAGGGCTAAACTGACTTTAATGAAAGGATTACATACAGTGGTGTAGGTAGGGCTGAGGGAACAGGGATGGAGAGGCTAGGGACCAGCAATGGGGGGAAGCTGTTACCACCCCTAGAGCGAGGTCCACCCTCTCAGTGTGTCCAAGACTGAGAGGACTTGCAGAGCTAAAGCTGGGCAGTCCTGAGAAAATCAGGATGGGCTGGTCGCCTTATGTAGAGCTGAAGGTCAAGAGAAGCAGTGAGGCGGCAGAAGCTGTAATCTTGGGGAGACGCAGCCATGACCCCAGACAGTGGTCTGAAGGGGTTGGAAGTAGGGAGGGAGCTGGGAAGAAGCACCTGACCTCTCTCCTCCCTCTGATCTCCTGCTGGTGTCTCCCTTTGGTCAACCCAACTGGAAGCCAGAGTGCCAGGGAGCAGCCCACAAGGGTCAGAGGAGGGTGGAGAATGGAGCGTGAGGGAGGCAGATGGAGCATCACCATTGTGGAGACTCAACATACCATTGCAGGGATGGTGCCCAGGCCACTGTCTGCCTCATAGTATGTGCTGAGTAAATGCTGACTGTAAAAATGATGCTAATTAGCTCAGAAAGCCCTACCCTTTGGAGGCTCCTTTGTTCCTGTAACTTTCTTATTGTTCAGCACCCAGCCTGGCCCACGGTAGGTGCTAGGTTGGCAGTATCCACTGTCTTGCCCCCTCCCTTTGGCGGCAGCAACCTTCTTTCCCCTCTGCTTTTGTGTCCTGCCATCAGGGAGGGACTCTGGGCAGGTGACAGTCTCCAGAGATGGAGCCCCTCAGTAATGAGTATAGCAGTGTGCAGCAGCTCTTCCTCTCTGTGGAGGGCAGGAGGGGAGGAAACCGCTCCTCCCTGGGTTGCAGAAAGAAGGTCTTAGCTTGCATGTCTTGTCTGAAGGTAGAGTTGTGAGGGCTGGTGGAGGCAAAGTGGCCTCCCAGGCTTCTGTCTGGGCCTGGACTGTGAGCCTGGGTGGGAGGGAGGCTGTCTTCAAGCAGCAAGCCGGGAGCTCCATGAGAGTGTGCCCTGGGCCCTGTGCACCTGTCCCCAGCTCCCAGCACAAAGCCTGGCCCAGAGAGCAAGCTTGGTAAATGTGTGCGAGGGATGGCGTGAGTGTCAGTGTCTGGGGTGAGGTGAGACTTGTGTTTACTGACTGCCTCTCACTCCCACCAGCCTGGCTGTCCTGTGACTCAGAGGGGGCCCACAGCCACATCCTGGAGGCTAGGGCCCACTCATGACTGTTTCCTCCTCCCACACGGCCCAGGGAGAGATAAGGGAGGCTGAGAAAGTGATCTCAGCCTGGGTAAAGGAAACAAAGGTCAGTGGGAAGTGGTGGCTTCATCCAGGGATCGCTTTTCCAAAAGGCTTCCATGGAGGGCCCTGCTTATAGGCAGAGGAGGAAATGGGGCTCAGAGAAGTTGCGAGTTGCCCCAGGACACGCAGCTCAGTGTGGGAGATGGCTCGGCTTGGCTCCTCAAATGCCCAGTGTCCTAACTCCAAAATCTCCTCTTGGCTATTAAGGGACTAGTTCTGCAAGTGCTGTCACTCTCATTCCTCGTGGGAGCGGGGTTCAACTTCTTCAAGCAACTGGGAGCCACTTACAGCCTCCCAGGGGCCCTAGGAGAAGATCCCACAGCTCCCTCTGGTCCTGGAGCAGGCAGTCTCTTCACTTGCCCTCCCTAGGCTGAGGGAGGCCAAGCCTTCTCCATGGCAGTCCCATGTCCTCTCTTTTGGGATCCTGGGGACACAGGCTGGTTGGTCGTTCTGCTCATCTTGTGGGGGTGGGGAGCACAACGATGCTGTCCTCGCTCTTTTTTTTCAGGCAAGTCTCGGTTCACTTTGAGCCCATCTTCTTGCTGAGAGATGAAGGGGGTGAGGAGGGCCAGTGTCTAAAGTCACCTCCTCAATCACCCCTTGCCCCTGACAGTTGACGTCTCTATCTTTGCTTGGGGCTTTGTTTGGTCCCAGCAGACTGAGGTGAATAGGAAGTTGGGGGCGACCATATGAGGTGATTTAAGGAGCTCCACTGGCCCCTCTGAATCAGACACATGGGCTCCTGCATAAGGGGAAGATGGGAGTGACAGGGTTTCTGCATGGGCCTCCTGGGGCTTTTTCGGAACACCTGCCTTTTGGAGCTGTGCCTGTTTCCACCCAGGGTGGTCTGTGTCCTCAGCCCACCTCCAGCTCCCTCCAAAGTGGCCGAACCTTTCTGTGGGGACTCTGCTGTGGTGCAGAGGGTCAGGGATCTCAGGTATTGGTTAAATCCCCTGCTGTCTCTTCAGCCTCCATAAGAGGGTCCTTTGCTCCCAGGCTTCTGGGCCCTGCCTGAGGACCCCAGGCCTTTTCTACCTCCTGATCAAGTGCCTTGCCCCCATGGTTGGCCAGGGACCCTCTTTCTGTCTTTGAATTCACTTTGCCTGCACAGGCTCACTTCCCAGAAGGCTCTGTCGCTCTATGGCAGAGGCACAGGCTATCCCCACTCTCACCCTGTCACCTGTGTCACCCACCCTGGACCTGTGAGGAACGGTGGGCCATGGGCTGGGGGTGGGAAGGGAGCAGGCCTGGATGCTCTCTCTGGCAGCCCATTGCTCAATGCTCCTTCTCCTACCACCTGCACAGCCCCAGGCCCTGCAGCCTTGGCTTACAACAGGGGCCTGGGACAAACCCCATAGAACAGAGCTTCCATTGACAGCGGCCACTGGGGCTGGGTAGGAGGACAGCAAGGCAGCCACTGGGTGGTGGGGGTGGCCGTGGGAGCCCATATCATCCTGTGCCAACCAAGGAGAGCCTGGGGGCAGGGGGAGAAGGTGGCATCCTGCCCCAGACAGTCTCAGCTCAGCCCCAGCTCTGGAGCACAGGTGATAACCAGGGGGGCCCCTCCCTCCTGCTGGGGGAGACCCCTCCCTCTCCCCCTGGGGCGATGGGGCAGGAGTGTCTGTGGAGCTGGGGAGCCGGCCCAGCTGGGAAAAGATAAAAAGCCCACGGTGGCCCAGCAGCTCACGGCACTCCCTTCCTGCCCTCTCGTCCTGCCCTCTGGCCTCTCTGCAGCTATGAGGTCCTCTGTCTCTCGGCAAACATACTACACCAAAGGGGGCTTCAGCTCCAACTCTGCCAGTGGAGGGGGTGGGTCCCAGGCCCGCACCAGCTTCAGCTCAGTGACGGTGTCCCGGAACAGTGGCAGTGGTGGCGGGGCCCGCTGTGGCCCCAGCACAGGTGGCTTTGGCAGCCGAAGCCTCTATAACTTGGGGGGCCACAAGAGTATCTCTGTCAGTGTGGCCGGAGGGGCCTCCTCGGGGTGGGCTCTGGGGGGCTTTGGCTTTGGCAGCAGGGCATTTACAGGACAGGGGGCTGGCAGGCAGACGTTCGGGCCCGCTTGTCCTCCTGGGGGGATCCAGGAGGTCACCGTCAACCAGAGCCTGCTGACTCCCCTCCATGTGGAGATAGACCCCGAGATCCAGCGAGTGCGCACTCAGGAGCGGGAGCAGATCAAGACCCTCAACAACAAGTTCGCCTCCTTCATCGACAAGGTGAGCCAAGCAGGAAGGAGGAAGGGAGCTCTTGGGGAAGAAGCGGGACCTCTAAGAGAGGGTGGGCTGGGCTAGGACTGCTATAGCCCCCTTGTACTAGGGTGGTTGTTGACAGAGCTCTGCAGCTCTCCCCGTCTGAGCCTGGGATGGTGAGACGTGGGTGGCTGGAGGCAACCTTCAGGTCTTTGCTGTGCCTGTGCGGGGGAGTCTCCAGTCTACTCATGAGTCCTGTTTGCCAAGCCCACCTTGCCTGTGTTGAAGCCTATTCTACCACCATGATTAATACGATTGATTACACAGTAGCCTTACCTCATCATCAAAAAATGGATGGTCCTCATTGCTCCTCTTAGCAGGGTGGTCCGCATTGCCTTTTGTCATTTTACAGCTGGGGAAACAATGGCTCAGGAGTTGAAAGAGTTGTTCAAGGCTAAGGGCATGGAGCCCTGTTTGTTTCATTCTTTCAGGCTTGGAGGAGGCTTAAGGGCAAGATGTGATCAGAACACAGTTGTGTGTGGGTGGTGTAATAGAGGAAGGCTCCCCTTTGCTTCTCCTTTTTTTCCTCTCTGTTTGAGCGAAGAGGCTCAGGTTGGGGTGGACAATGAGGAGGGTGGTCGTCAGGTCACCACGCTCTGGGGGTGTGGAGTTTGACCTGTTGCCCATAGGCGTGTCCTGAACCCTGCCCTTGCTCCACATGGATGGGGGCAGCACTTGTGCTGGGATTTCCTGGTCTGTTTTGCTGGCATTGTCCTCCTCGATCCTGAGCCAAGGACGTGGGTCATGATGGGGAAGGTCTGGCAGACAAATGTCCCTTGGTTCAGTGATTTGTGTTTTTCCAAAGAACATGCACATCTCTTTTCTCCTGTGGTACCTACAGTGCTTCTATGAAGAGTCAGAAATGGTGATATTGTGCCCATTTTTGAGATGAGAAAATTGAGGTCTAGAGAGCTCAACTGATTTGCCCACGATGATACAAGGAGTTGGAGGTAGAGGCAGGACTGGAAACCAGGCCCCTGGACTCCGTGGTTCTTGGCACTAAGAGGTGTTACTGCTCACGATAGGCACACCTGCTGCATGGTGCTCCCGGGCCATGTGACTGAGGCCCAGGTGCTGTGGAGGTAGGACCTGGAGAGACTGGATGACAGAATGTGAAGCAAGCCGTCTTGCCTGCCTCCTCACCCTCTCCCCTAGTGACTTTTGGTTTTCCTGTGGGACTGTCCCAGAGGCCAAATAAGCCAAAACCTTTCCCAGGCTTGCAGAATCACAGCCTGGGAGCTGGAGGTCTGAGAGATTGTCTTGGAACCCCAGCTGGGTCAAAAACTCCTGGGGGTCCTGTTAAACCCACACTATAGGCTTCCTTCTGAGTCTATAGAGGAAGGGCCCATACATCGGTATTTTTAAAAAAAGTTTATTTTTTGGGAAAAAATGTGGAATTTACAGAAAAGTTGCAAGAATAGTACAACGTACTCCTATATACTCTTCCACCCAGTTCACCAATTTTCTTAATTTTTTTTTTTTTTTTTTTGAGACAGGGTCTTGCTCTGTTTCCCAGACTGGAGTGCAGTGGTATAATCAAAGCTCACTGCAACCTCCATCTCTTGGGTTCAAGTGATCCTCCCACCTCAGCCTCCTGAATAGCTGGGACTACTGGCGCATGCCACTACACCTGGCTAATTTTTAGTAGAGATTTTTAGTAGATTTGATTTTTAGTAGAGACAATCTTGCTATGTCGCCCAGGCAGGTCTTGAACTCCTGAACTCAAGCACTCCTCCAGCTTCAGGCTCCCAAAGTGTGTGATTTTAAACAGTTGATTTACATTTTAAACAGTTGATTTTAATGCAGAATTAGGGGTCAGAAACATAGATCTAGTCCAGTTTACGCAGGACAAGTGAGAGAGGGAGACTCAGAGAGAAATGATTTGACCAAGGTTACCAACTAGTAAATTGGTACTGCTATTGAGCTGGGCTTTTGTGCTTATTAACTTGTTAGAGTTCTTTCCATCAGATGGGACGGTCATTTCCAGCAGTCTGTTCCCCTAAGGACCCTTCCCCACAGCCAGGTGTAGGTGGGCTGCAGTGTCCCTATGATGCCCTGGCCTAGGAGGGGAGGTGGCAATGGACCCCATCCTTGGCCCCTCTGGTGACCGGAGGATGACGTCAGCCCACCCTTTCTGCTCTGGCTCAGGTGCGGTTCCTGGAGCAGCAGAATAAGGTGCTGGAGACCAAGTGGGCACTGCTGCAGGAGCAGGGCCAGAACTTGGGTGTCACCAGAAACAACCTGGAGCCCCTCTTTGAGGCCTACCTGGGCAGCATGCGGAGCACGCTGGACAGACTTCAGAGCGAGCGGGGGAGGCTGGACTCAGAGCTCAGGAATGTGCAGGACCTTGTGGAGGACTTCAAGAACAAGTGAGGAGAGCAGGCCAGGAGGGGCCATGTGGGAATGAGGAGGGGCAGTGGGAAACCTGCTGAGAGGGCCACCCCATTCCCAGGGTCCCAGGCTCACCTGGGGGACACAGACAGAGCTGGATCCCTCAGGTACTCAGGTCCAGCACCTGCTGCCATCTGGAGAATTGGCAGGTTTGTTTGTAATTTTAAAAAGTCTTTAAAGTAGGGAGAATAGTATAGTGAACCCCATGTTCCTGTCACCCAGCTTTAATCATTATTGGCTCATAGCCAATTTTTTACACCTCCCCACTTCCCTTCTTCCTGTGTAGTCTTTTTTGTTTTTTAACTTTGCATTTTTCTACATGTTCTGACTCCCTTGTAGTCTTGAAGCAAATCCCAGACATCTTGTCACTTCATTCATTAATATTTTACAAGTTATATTCATATATCTGCATATATGAATGTAGTTCTTCTACATGACTCAATAAAACATACAGTGCCATAATCACATCTAATACATTTTAAAACAATAATTCCTCAATATAATTAAATATCCAGCCAGTTTTGAATTTCCAGTGGTCCCATACATGTCGTAACTTTAAAAAATACGGCTTGACTCAAGCTCCAAATAAGGTTTATATATTACAATTGGTTGATATGTATATTTATAACTTTAAGGCACATTTAAAAATGACTTTTCACATAAATCGACCATGGCAATTTCTAAGCCTTAAAATCTCACCGAAAGTGGTTGGGGAGGAGTTAGCTGGTTTGAATGACACCGTGTTGTTGAAAGTGACAGTAAAGGTCAGCCACTGTTGACACATCTTCACTTGTCCCTCTAAAGCCTCCTAAGGGCTTGGATCCAAAGAGATGGCAGCTCTTGATTGCCATACTATTGCACAAGTTCTGTGCCTCTTTCCCTAAAATGGGGTGGGGAGAGGGAATGTTTGAATCAAGGCAGACCCCACATTTCTTCACTGGTTGGCTACATTAAAGAACCGCTCCTCAGAGGTGTTCTTGACCAGTGAGTGACCCATCAGGGCTTCCGTAAAGCTGAGTGGGTCCCATGCCTGAAAGGCAGAGCCAGGCTGAGCCTGGCCTGAGTCTCCCATGTGTAACAGGTACGAGGATGAAATCAACAAGCGCACTGCTGTGGAGAACGAGTTTGTGGTGCTCAAGAAGGTGAGCCGAGTGGGGTGGGGGAGGTGGTCCTTCAGCTGCCAGGGTACTGGGCTGATTCGGGAGGAGGTGACATCCCTGGGGGCTGAGGCTGTGTCTTGCTCTCTCATCCCCAGGATGTGGATGCAGCGTACATGGGCCGGATGGATTTGCATGGCAAAGTAGGCACCTTGACCCAGGAGATTGACTTCCTGCAGCAACTCTATGAAATGGTGAGGTGGCCAACGGGCAGGGAGAGTTTGCATACGTTATAAACAGCACTGGGGGTTTTCAATGGAGGTCTGACCTGAATTCACCAGTGCAGCCTCATTGGTGGAAGATGAAACCTTGACACTTTTTTTTTTTTGGAGATGGAGTTTCGCTCTATTGCCCAAGCTGAAGTGTAGTGGCACAGTATTGGCTCATTGCAACCTCTGTCCCCAGGTTCAAGCGATTCTCCTGCTTCAGCCTCTGGAGTAGCTGGGACTACAGGTGCCTGCCACCACGCCTGGCTAATTTTTGTATTTTTAGTAGAGATGGAGTTTCGCCATGTTGGCCAGGCTGGTCTTGAACTCCTGACCTCAAGTGATCCACCCGCCTCGGCCTCCCAAAGTGCTGGGATTACAGGCGTGAGCCACCGCACACAGCCTAAAACCTTGACACTTTAATTAATATTAGCTTCCACGTATTAAGTGTTTTTGATGGGCCAGGCACTGGGGCAAGCTTTTAACATAATCTTCTCAATAACCCCATAATGCAGGTACTATTATTGTCTCCATTTTATAGTCAAGGACCCTGGGGCTCACAATTACTTGCTTGTGGTCACATAGCTAGGAAGAAGCATTCTAGAATTTGAATCTGGCTCTTGAACTCCAAAGTCTGACTCTTGTCACTGTTATATTGCCCCCTCCTGCCCAGTTTGTAATGGAGCAAGGGATGAGGGAGCAGGAATGGGCAGACAGGAGGGACTGGGATTCCAGATTGGAGTAGAAGGTGAGTAGTGGGTAGATTAAAGAATCCAGGAGGGGTTCCAGGAGACAAGGGGGCTTTGGAGACTGGAGTGAGAGGGTGGAACTTAACATGAATTGACCACAGAATCATAGACTCTTAGGGTCCGCAGGACCTCAAGACCAAACTTTCATCCAGTGCAAGAACACTTTCTATGATATCCCTGACATATCCCTATCATATGTAACCTCTACTCAAGCACTTGCTGTGGTAGGGAGCTCACTACTTTTTAGGGCAGGCATTGCCATTGTTGAACAACTTTATTAGAGCACGGACTTAGATCTCTTTCTCAGGACTTCTGCCCTTGACTTTGCTCTCTGGGCTACACATATCCAGTTGTCTTCCATGTGACTTGTGCCTTTCACATGACAGCCCTTTAGAAGTCACGATGATGACAGGATAAAAATCTGTGGCATGTGAGTAAAGTATTCAGAAGATAGAGGGATGGGGAGGGAGATTCCAGATACAAACTTCTATTGATGCAGCCTAATAGTGCACTAGTTTATGTGTTGTTTTAGAAGTCATTTCACAATGTTGGCTTCTTAGAACCCCTCCTGGACTTTTTCACATAAATCCTTTCAAATGAGACACACATCTACTCTCCTCCAACTTCCTGTATTTGGGTAGCTGAATTTTGAAACTGAGTGGCATAGTTAACCATTCCCTTTCTTTCCTATGAAATGCCATTGTGGTGTCATCCCAACATTTTGAGCTCTGTGGGCTCTGAGTAACTTGATTCTTTTATCCAATGTATTAGTGATGCATAGCTTTGTGTTATCTGCAGATGGGATAAACTTTCAGTGTAGGTATTTGATAGCATCTCGTGTAAATCATTGATACACATGTTAAGGCAATCAGGGCCCAAAACAAAGTCCTGTGGGTCTTCAGTGGTGATTTTCCATGGGACTGTTAACAGACTGTTCCATGTCTGTTAATCAATAATTTGTGGTTAAATAGCCTCAGCTACTTTAAAATCCCCTTAACAGTACTCTTACCTGGACCACATTTTTCTGTCTTCTTTCAAGAATGCTATGAAAGGCTTGGTCAAACATTGTCCATGGCAGACCTTTAGCAGTTTAATATTATAATCATGAAGGAAAATTAAATCCACTTGGTTCCACTTTTCCTTAGGGAACCCATGATGGCTTCATGCCTCCCACACACATTTAGGAATTCATTCTATGGGTCTGGAGGAGGTTGATGTCAGCCTTATTTGAAGAATTCCAAATCTCTCCTGTTTGAAAATCAGGCCAGTTACTGTGGGGTTTTGGGGTCTCCTCCTCTCCATATCTCTCAAGGATGACCAGGCATTCCTCCCCTTGGCAGTCCCTGGAGCCTCTGAGTGTATGCTCTTCCGGCCTGGATCCCTGTGATCTCCAACAAGGCCAAGGCCTCTCACCTTCCCTGTCTTGGGTCCCCATTTCCTCTCAAGTCTTTTTCTTGTGCTTTCCACTTTGATGACCGGTTTGTTCTTGATGGAAAAGTGGCAAATGACAAAGCAGCTAGCTGAGCGATTGGCCTTTCCTGGATCTTTTGTAGGGATCAGCCCAAAGGGACCTCCGTGTTATTCCTGCCTAGAGTTCATCTAACAGCATCTGACCTCTGACTTTGCTGTTTCCCAGGCTTATCCTTGGCTGGACTGCTTGCCTTCCAGCATCTCTGCACAGCCTGTCTGGATGGAACTTGCTGGGAAGTGTTCTGGGCCACCATGCTGAGTTTTTAGGTGCTTCCCCAGTTTCTACTTTGCAGGGTCACTGATGGTCATTCATGGTCTGGGGCCTCCTTGTGGTCCCTTAGGTTCCATTCTCTCTCCTCTTCTTCTCTGATTGTTTAGGACTTGGCTTTTCTCTGGTCTAAGGCACATAGCTGGCACACTCAGCATTCCTTTCCTTTGCTATGCCTTGTTTATTTAACAAACATTTACTGAACACCTTCCACATAGCAACAAAGACAAAGTCTCAGCTCTTGTGGGGACAGGTTATCAGGTGATGAGAGCTGTAGGGGACAGGCACAGGTGCAAAGGCACATGGGGACGCCGAGGCTGACACTTCCTAGAAGGGCTGCAGAAGCCTTCGAGGGAGATGACATCTGAGTTGGATCTTGATGGAGGGGCTAGACTTCTAGAGAAGGAGCAGGAAGGACTTTGCAGCCTGGGGCCCAGCCTGTGCAGTGTCACAGAGGCGTGAAGGAGCATGGTGCTTGGGTACCAGTGGGTGGTGAGTGCCCACATCGAGTGTGTGGGCACAGTTAGGTGAGGAGGAGGCAAGGGAAGGAGAAGTAGAGACCAAGCCTGGGCCCTTTCCTGTCAGAGGTCCTCACGGCCTAGCAGTGCCTCAGTGGGGTGAGAACAAAGGTCAGTACAGTTGTTCCCTTGTTGTCTCATGGGCTCAATCAGTCACGGAACCAGCATGGCTCTCAATAATGCCATGGTCTGATTTTGGCCAAGCCAGATCCCACAGCCATCTGGGCGGTGAACCACCTATCACTGGGTGTCTCACGGGGCAGGAAGGCAGCCTCCATGGTGGCCTCTCTCTGGCCTGGGGTGTCTGCGGAACCCAGTCCCTCTTCCAGTTATGCCACTTCTGCCTGCTGGCTCCCTTTACCCTTACCTAGACGTCTCCACTATCTTTCCCCCTTAGAGTCCCTGGTGTCTAAGGAGACACACACCTTAGCGATTCACAGAGCTCTTTCTGCTCTGATTTCATGAGCTCCCTTTCATTGGAAAGCCTGACTTTTTCTTTTCTTTTCTTTTCTTTTTGAGGCAGGGTCTCATTCTGTCACTCTAGCTGGAGGGCAGTGGCGCAATCACGGCTCACTACAGTCTCGACTTTCTGGGCTCAAGCGATCCTCCCACCTCAGCCTCCCAAGTAGCTGGGATTACAAGCACACGTCACCATGCCTGGCTAATTTTTGTATTTTTTGTAGCAACAGGGTTCGCCATTTTTCCCAGGCTAGTCTCGAACTCCTGAGCTCAAGTGATCGGCCACCTTGGCCTCCCAAAATGCTGGGATTACAGGTGTGAGCCACTGCACCTGGCCAAGCCTGACCTTTCTATCCCCTTGGTCTAGCAAGACCATTGCATCACCTCATCCACTCTTGATGCTGTTCAGTGGAGAGTTTTTGCCTCCTTGTCTTAGAAGTTTCGGGTTGATTTTCCTCGGGACTATGCTCTGACATGGGTCTGGAGAGAGACCCTGAGTTGGGGAGGGCAGGGGCAGGATGCTTCAAGATGATGCTGACAGTTCATCTTGGTGGGGAAGGAGTCAAGGCAGCTGTGACAACACAATCTTATCTGTGACAAATAGGCCTTATGGGCACCTCCAGTGGCCTTCAGAGAAGTCTGGGCAGGTAAGAATGCACTTAAATCAGCACATGCCATGGGTCATACATGGATCTTAAGCCCCACAACCACCGCAGGAAGAAAGTATGATCAGGCCGTGGTACAGAAGAAGGAACTGAGGCATCGCAAGTCTTAGCTGCTACATCAGCTACAGAGCCAGTGCACGTCAGGCCGGGGTCTTGATCTCAGGCTTGTCTATCTCCAAGACTCATATCTTTCCAAAAACCACAAGTTTTTGTAGTGACTGGATTGATTGTGTCTTTAACCTCCTCATCCCACTTTTTGAAATACAATCTGATTTAACAATCTGCATCGACATCAGTACGGATATTGGTTTTGCCTTTGGTATTTCTCTTTACCCCTTGTCTCTCTTTGTTCCTGCCTAGCTCTATTTTAGTCTATGTCCTCTCAGTTTCTGAAGTCAGACTCCTGGGGTTTGAAACTGAGCTCCTCACTTACTGGCTTGTGATCTGGGGCAAGTTACTTAATCTCTTTGTGCTACTGGAAAAGGGCACGTAATGAGTTAGTACCTGCCACGTGCCTAATGCAGAGCCTGAACCACAGTGATGCTCAGCGTCCGAGGGTTGTTATTATTATTCTATTATAATTCCCTGGGCTGCCACGAAGGGCCAGTGTTTGAGAAAGGATGGACACAAGACCAGAATATGGGAGGTGTTGGGTTTTAGGGTTAAGGTTCTTCACCCATCAGGGAGCCTCTAAGGAGTACTGAGTGAATGAGTGATTTGTTTAGGGCATTCTATGGGCAGCCCAGAGCAGGAAGGACCATGGGAGAGATGGAGGCAGAGCCCCACGTGCGACCAGTGATCCAGCTGGTCCCAAGACCAGAACAGAGACCCTTGACTCCCCATCACCTAACCTGCCATTCACAGCATCCTGAAGCCTACTTATGTGTGAAAGACGATACTTCTAGAAACAGGAGGGCCCAAGAACATCATGACAGTCTATACCTTTCTGTGTGCTCTAGAGGAAACCACTTGGGCTTTGTGGTGTAATTGACTGGTCCGAGGCTGGGTCCCACCCTGGACCTGGTGGTCTTGGATGCATCACTTCTCTCCAAACCTCTTTCATCACATGTCCACGGTCAGGGCCACTGTGGATGGTGGTGCAGCTGGTGATTTGGCTGGTGCTGGACGTGCTGCTTCCACCTGAAGGGCTGTCTTTCCCCAATTTGCACAAAGGCACTCTGTGAGCCTGCCGCGGGCCTGCCTGTGAGCCTGCCATGGGCACCCTGTGAACCTGCCATGGGCCCGCCTGCCGCACAGGGTGTTCTGAGGCCTAGAGGGGTTAGTGAATGTGCTAGCACAGTGCCGGGCATCAGTGGTAGTGCAGGGAGTACACATTCTCTTTTCCCTCTCTAATCTTTTGGAAGCCTGCAAATCCACAAAAATAAATGAAGTCTGTAAAAATGGGAGCTTCATTTTATAGCTGGGGAGACTGAGGTCTTTCCAGTTGTGACTTTGCTCTAGGCTGGAGCCTGAACAAGAGCACAGGCCTCCTGATGCTACCTGTCTTTCACCCCCTGATGCTTCCTGGGGCCTGGAGCACGGATGCTGGTGGCAACTGTCTCTGTTTCTTCAGGAGCTGAGCCAAGTGCAGACCCACGTGTCTGACACCAATGTGGTGCTGTCCATGGACAACAACCGCAACCTGGACCTGGACAGCATCATCGCCGAGGTCAAGGCCCAGTATGAGCTGATTGCCCAGAGGAGCCAGGCTGAGGCCGAGGCCTGGTACCAGACCAAGGTGAGAGGCATAGCTGGCTCAGGTGTGAGGCCTGGGGTCTGATCAGATCTTCTCCCATCGTAAGAGGCTTGGGCCTCTGGGACTCTTGGAGTCTGGGGGGCCAGATATACTCAACTTGCATGGGGCCTCCAGCTGTGAGAGTGGGCTGGGGCCATTTGAAAGCTCACTGCCACTTCTTTGGTCCCCAGTATGAGGAGCTGCAGGTGACGGCTGGGAAGCATGGGGACAACCTGCGGGACACCAAGAACGAGATTGCTGAGCTCACCCGCACTATCCAGAGGCTGCAGGGGGAGGTAGATGCAGCCAAGAAGCAGGTGGGACTCTACCTGGGGGCTGGGGGGTCTGGCCTGGTGTTGGCAGGGCCTTCTCATTGTCATCCCGAGGGGCTAGGCCTGCTCTTCTCTTGATGGACACAATAGAATGCTAGGCCATTGATCACAGGCTCCTTTTACAGGGGGGAAACTGAGGCCCAGAGAGGGAAGGGGCTTGTCCAATGTCACACGATATATGAGTGGTAGAGCAGGTGGCACAACCTTCTCCAAGAAGACTGATCCATCCCATCTCCAGGAGGTCAGAACAGGAGGTAGAGGGTTCAAGGGGCCAGGTCACAGATGCTGATGCCGACTCCATCTTGAGGACAGCTGAAAAGTCTGGGTTCTTCCACATATTAGAATGAAGCACTTGGTTACTAATCAGGCTCTGTTATTTATTTCATCTTTTCTGAGGCATTGGGCTGATCTGCAGTAGGAGGGGTTGACGTTAGACTTCAGTGAGGACTTTCCCAGTGGCCTTACTTGATCCTGCTTGTGTAATAGCATCTCTTCAGATAAATACTTCTCTCTTCTTTCTTTCCCAGTTGGTTGGGGGCAGGGATGTGGGAATCATGATGCCTTCATGGCTTGAGGGCAGAGAGATGAATGGGATGACCCCGGAGGGTGCTTCCAACACCTCTCCCTGCTGGGCAGTGTCAGCAGCTGCAGACGGCCATTGAGGAAGCGGAGCATCGTGGGGAGCTGGCACTCAAGGATGCTCAGAAGAAGCTTGGGGATCTGGATGTGGCCCTGCACCAGGCCAAGGAGGAGCTGGCGCGGCTGCTGCGTGACTACCAGGAGCTGATGAATGTCAAGCTGGCCCTGGACGTGGAGATTGCCACCTACCGCAAGCTGCTGGAGAGCGAGGAGAGCAGGTGGTGGCCCCTCCTGCCCGACCCAGAGAGCTGCTCAGGCCTGCCCTGGGGGAGAGCCCGAGGAGTCTGCTCTGGGGTCAAGAGGGAGAGGGAGGAACCAGGGAGCAAGATCCTGACTCACGCCGGGGGAAAATCTGTTTGTGCCCACTGCCTCCGTCACTCCTCTCCTTGGCTGGCACAACTCTTGTTAATCCTTATTGTGGCTGACAGCCCGGTAGGAATGGAACTTCCTCTTCTATCACCAGATTCCACCAGCAGTGGAAGCTTTGGAAAAAAAGTCCACCATTTTTGTCCTTAGGAAAGGCATGAAATAGAGAGAAAGTGGGCAGAAACTAGGCAGCTCTGTCTGGTTGTGGGCTTGTTGCCACTGGGGCAGGGATGCAGTCCGTAGCCCACATGGGGAGAGAGGAAAGAAAAGGGGAGGATGGGAGTTGGCACAGCCTACTGGCGACTCGGCCTTCTCTGCAGCACCGGGTTTTGGACCTGGGCACAGCCCTATACACATACTTCTCACGTTTCCTGGTCTTGTCATCAGGATCCACTGAGTTGATCCAATGTAAAGGCAGAAGGAAGGAGAGGGTTTTCATGTGGGCACCAGGGACCACTGACTGCTCTCCCGGCCTTTCTGTGTCCCCTAGGATGTCTGGAGAATGTCCCAGTGCAGTCAGCATTTGTGAGTATTTACTCCCCGCTTCCTGCTCCACCCCTGGCCAGGCCCCAGAACTCTGCTCAGTTTATGCAACCTGTCCTTGTCCTAAAGCATTGCTCTCCTCCATTCGAGCCCCTGGAGACAGGTTCAGAGGGTCCTAGTACTGGGCTTCTCTATCCATTTCCCATAGCTCTGCTGCCTGATTTTGTTCTGATTCTCCACTGATTTCCGGGTGTCCCCCAGCCCTCTCCTGGCACAGCCACCCTGATTAATCCAGACCCTTTGCTTTGCAGCTGTGACTGGCAACTCCACTACTGTGTGCGGAGGTGGCATCGCCCTGGGTGGGAATGGGGGGGCCACCAAGGGTGGATTCAGCACAAATGTGGGCTACAGCACCGTCAAGGGAGGGCCAGTCTCTGGGGGAACCTCCATCCTGCGGAAGACCACCACGGTCAAGACGTCCAGCCGGAGGTATTAGCTGCTGAGCCCTGCAAGGGCCCCTGCAATCCTCTCCCTGCCCTCCTCACCCCACCTCTGCTGCCCTTTCCAGTCACTTTCTCAGGAGCAGGAACAGCCAGGGGACCTCAGACCCAGGGTGTTTTCATACCAGACTATTTGCATCTTGGAAAGCACTCAAATCTACTCAGGTTTTTTTCTTGGTCCTGCAATAGGGTGGGAGGGGAGGTTAAAGTTGCCAGCTTGAGTGATGTGCTTGGGTGACTTGGGGGTGATCTTTTGACCACTGAGAGGAGGCTGAATTTCCCAAGCCATTTGGAGAGAGAGAAATTGAGAGTGGTCCCCAAAGACCCTTCAACCTCCCCAGTCCCCCACTAGACCCACCCTCTCCCTGAATCTACCCACACCCCCCTTCCCTGTCTGTGTCTCAATAAATGGTACAACTACAGCTAGCTGTCTGTGGCTGCAGTCTGTTCTGCCTGGGGAACTGAAATTGTGTCCATTGATTAATGTCCTGATGCCTGACACAGCAACAATCACACACTCACTACGTCCCAATCGCCATGCTTACTTAGGTACATTAGTTTGATACCATCGCCACTCCAAGGCTGTACATGGCTCACAAGAGGAGACTGAAGCTCAGAGGGAATATGTACGCAGCTCAAGGCCAGACCTGGCTGAGTGGCTGCCTATTACCCAGCCACCCCCTGGTGCCCATTCAGCCTCCCACTAACTCTGTAGGGGCAGATGGCATGCTTTGTTCAGTGGAGAGATCTTAGGCTTTAGAACTAGGCAACTTGGGTTTAAATCCAAGTTCTGCCACTTACTAGCTGTGTGACCTTGGTCAAGTTACCTAACCTCTCTGAGCTTTAGTTTCCTTCTTTGTAAAAGTAGGTTGTGATAAGAACATGTGTAAAGCATCTGGCTGATGGAGGCCCTTACGGGAATTGGGTTTCTTTGCTTCCCCACTCCCTGACTTCTGGATTTCCAGCTCATCCTCCTGGCCTCAGTGATGTCTCTCTCAGCCCCCACATCCAGTCAGCAAGAAAAATCCACATTTAATTGGATTTTGTGGTTTACAAATACATTACTTTGCCTGTGACCATCACCACAGCCCTGGGTTCAGCAGTGGGCACGTGGTGTTCCAGTTTACAGGTTAGGCGATTCACGCTCACAGAAGTGAACTCTCATGCTGTAGTCATCCTGCTGGTTAGAGGCGGGTCAGTAGTGTCCAGGGCTGCAATTTCAAGCCCTCTGTCCCATGACCCTGGAAGCTACCTCTGTCCTACTCCTGCCTCCATCACTTGCTAAATTTTACTGCTCCTTCCTCCGTGTGTCTCCTGATATCACCTCCTTTCCTCTTCATCTCCACAGTTCTCTACTCTGAGCCTGGACCCCATTCTTCAAGCTGTACCCAAGTGATTCCCCAATTGGCTGGCCTCTCAGCCCTGCAACTCTCAGGCCCTCCCCACCCTGCTACCAAACCAGTCGGCCCGACCCGAGGCTGTCACCGCACTGCTCCCTTCCTTGGCAATGTTAGTGCTGCCAACCCCTTAGGGCTCCTGGCCGTTGCTGGGATGCAACCCTCACTCTTCAGGCCTGATCACCCCGTCCTCCTCAGAGGAGCCCCGAAGAGTTCTGATAAAGCTTCCTCCAGGGCTGTGGAAGGCCAGCAGAGGGATTTTCAGCCAAACCCTAACCTCCAGCTTAGGAACACAAAGGCCTAGCGGTTTAGGGTCAGCTCTGCCTCACCAGCCTGGGTGGTCTCTAGCTTCCCTTCTCAGACAGATGGAGTATAGCCCACCCCATGTACAACACTTTGAGGAATACTTGCTAATGCTCATTGAGTGCCAACTGTGTGCCAGCATTGCTGTGAAACCTTTAACTGATTATCTTCACAGCAGCCTATAATACAAATACTATTATCATCCTAATTTTGCCTAGAAGGAAAATAAGGCAGAGTGGTTAAGTAACTTGCCTAAGGTCACACAGCTAGTAAGTAGCAGAGCTAGGTGTGGAATCCAAGTAATCTGGTTCCATAACCCAAGCTCTTAACCACCAGGTTATTTTGCTTATATAGAGAAAGGAATAGAGAGGAGGGGGTGCGGGAGCTAGAAGGGGCATTGGATGCAATCGACTCCAAACTTTTTATTTCATAGATAAGAAAACAGGTTGAGGAAGGGGAAGAATTTATCCAAAGCCATGGTAACTTAATGGCAGTGTTAACAAAAATCAGTTTTACTGAGATCATAGGCCAGGTGTGGTGGCTCATGCCTGTAATTTCAGCTCTTCGGGAGGCGGAGGCTGAAGCAGGTGGATCGCTTGAACCCAGGAGTTCAAGACCAGCCTGGGCAACATGGTGAGACTCCGTCTCTACAAAAAAATACAAAAATTAGCTGGGTTTGATAATGCATACCTGTCGTCCCAGCTACTTGGGAGGCTGAGGCGGGAGGATCACTTGAGGCTGTTGAGGCCAAAGTAAGCTGTGATTGCACCATTGCACTGCAGCCTGGGTGACAGAGGGAGACCCTGTCTCAAAAAAATTCTATTTAGGGCTCAAAAACTGAACAATAGAAACTTTTAATTGTCATGGAAAAAAACCTCAGAAATTATATTGCAGCCCAGGAGGGCCCACCAACAGTAATGTGCTGCTTAGACATACTTGTCGAAGGATGGGAATGGCCCAGACCCAGGGGTTTCCAAACTGAGGACCCTAAGGGCTGCTTTCAGGGCTGCAGGGGGAGGTCAGTAGGTGAGAAGTATCTTGGTCCCCTCCTCTGCACCAACTGGATTATCTCTCCTTATCTGTTTTACTCATGAGGCTGTGCGCGTGATTTTGTTTGTGAGGGTGCTTTTGCTGCCAGAACATGCGGGAAGCCCCTGCCTGTATACGCCTGGGGTAGGAGGCCAGCAGGGGCAGCTCTCTGGCCTGGGGGAAGAGGAGCCCCTGGGTACAGACCCTCACGCCTGGCTCTCAGGAGTGCCCATCCTCTCATTGCCCTCACTGGCCTCTCCTTAAAACGCTGATGGCCCTTTTCTGCAGAATCTCCGATCCCCATATTGGCTCTGGCTCCTCAAGAATGACTCAGGCCCGGTGGGGCAGTTGAAGTTGGGTGACCGAATGGGGTGAGGGTGCCTGCCTGGCCAGGGAGGGCAGGAGCACTTTCCCACACCACACAGCGGATTTGGAGCTGAGAGTGACAGAAGCCCTCAGGATCCCTTAATCCCAGGGCTGAATGTGTGAAGGGCTTGCCTCCCTCACCCAGAAAGCCCTGAACAAACACTCCCTCCGCCCGGCTCCACACCCCTGTCAGCTGCTCATCCCTCTGTGAAAAGACTGGGAACAGCTGCCAAACAAGGAAGGGTCACGGAGGGCAGTAGCAGAATCTGCGTGTGGGGGTCTGGGGAAGGGCAGGGGACCAGCTTTTAGCTGTGGCTTCTGGGTAGAGGCACCTTGTTCAGCCGCCTGCCTCTGGCCCAGATACGAAGGAGATGTCTGTCCCATTTTCAGGGAAAGAAACTCATCTCTCTTTCTCTCTCACTCTAGGGTGTAAAGGCGCTTTTGCATAGGAAGTTCTTCCTTATGTCTACCTTCAGTTTCTCAGGCTCAGTTTGAAGATTTTGTGAGCTTCTTGCAATTCTGATTTAATAATAAGGACACAGAATGTGGCTCTAGACTAGAACTTTCTTCCTGTTTGGATTGGGTTTATTGTAGGGTTTGTCATGAAATTAATTTGGATTTAGTTAATTGGAGGATACAAAACTGGCCCCTCAGGACAGTGTCATATCTTATTGGGTACTTGTAAGAACAGGGCCACATCAACCAAGCAACTGACCATGTGCCGAGGGTAAGGACAGAAAGGAGCTGAGCCGCATCTGCGGAGCTTGCAGTCTGCTGGCCAGACACCATGGCCGTCCTGGTGGACCATGAGCTACTGGGCTGTATAAGTTGCTGTGTACTTTTTTCCCTGAAGATTCTGTGCGGGCCAGTCACTCATATAAAACATTGTATCTACCGTTTTATACATTGTAAGGTCACAAGCTTTGAAGTCAGACAGATAGGACTGACTTCCCATCTCTACCACTTCCTGGCTGTGTGATCTCAGGCAAGTTACATACCCCTCTGAGCCTCAATGTCTGCAGCTCCAAACTGGACATAGGAAAACACTTCTTTGGCCGGGTTGTTAGAAGAAGCATCTAGTGTTCAGCATATAATGGTAGTTCCAAAAGAGAATCCCTTCCACCCAAGAGGCACTGCTGCCTTTCCTTTGTCTTCCTTCTTGTATCAGGGATAGAACATCTCAAGTCACCTTCATGAGAAGTACCTCAGTTGCAGCTCCTTGGTTTGGGTGCCCTACAGACACAAAATAAGACTGATTGCATATTCTATATTGTTTCCCTGAAAATCCCCTTGGCTTCTGGCTTGCTTTTTGTTCTAAGCAGTAGACACAACTTTAGGGGCAGTGAACCCACGCCATTTTCTCCTAGTGTTGGAGTGTTACAGCCATAGAGTAAAAGACCCAATAAGCACACTACAAGCCATGTGCTCAGGCAAAGCCTCTACCCTGGCCTGTGATAGTCCCCATCAAACCCCAGGGTCTACCAGAGAAGAAAGCAGTGAATGGCAGGTGCAGAGGCTGAGGTGAGGCAGCCGGGGGCACTGAGCTCTGGCCCTCACTCAGGCTGAGATCCCAGTGGTCCTACCATGTCCTCTGGGGCAGGAAACCAGGCAATTGGACCTCAGCTTCCCAAGGAGGATACTCACATGTTTCCTCTGCTCCTGCAGCTGCAGCCCCCAAAGACCTGCAGTAGTTCCCACCCTCCTTCCAAACCATGCCCACCTTAGGAGCAAGAGTGGAAATTGATAGACCCTGGGATGCTAGTGCTCCCAGAGCCCCTTTGACCCAAACAGCCAGTTCCATCAGGTTTATTCGGATGCCCATTCTGCATTGGTTATGACACAATTTAGACAGAGTGACTTTATACCAGGCAGAACAGTGTGAGTGAGAGGCCATATGTGAGTGAGAGGCCATAGAATATGGAGCCTTTGGGGCCAGAATAATGTGAGTTTAAATTCTGCCTCCATCACGTGCTGCTGTGTGACTCTGGGAGCTACTTTACTTCTCTGAGCTTCTGAAAGGAAGGTTAATGGTGCTAACTGCATAGAGCCTTTAAGTAGACTAGTTGATCAAGTGTAGGTAAGGCATCCAGCACAGGACTTGGCACAAAGTGGGCGTTTGGTGAATCTGGGCAGAAAGGATCAGTGAAAGTCCAATCCCTTCCTTCTAGGAGATGGTTCTGGCTCTAGAATGCTCACCTATTGCAGGTGGACTGACCCATGACTCGGGCATTCTCCCGTGATGGGGCCTGAGGACTCCAGTCCTTACGACCACAGTCCCTCCACCCCCTCTCCACTTACTTAGAGGCCATCTTGGCAGAGACAGA